TTGTTACCGCTGTTCAGCAAAAGACTCCTGTGCAGACCCTTCTGAGCTTTTCTACAATGCGGACAGCGACCATCCCAATTGGCACCACTATGACTTGACCGAGTTCATTGCTTTGCAGCTTGGTCACAGGGAGCGGCCATGCAACTAGTCTTACATGGTAGGTTGTCTGCTTCCTGTCTTGAGCCTGCAGTCGTTGCAACGGGTCATTTTCAAACTGAGGTTACGAACGTGTTAAGCATCAGCTTTAGAGCCAAACAAAAGCAACCCAAGGTCCGCTGATCCTGCTCAAAGGCTTTCATCCGCAATGCCTGGAAGTTTGTTCCATGCATGTAGTCAATTTAGGGTTGGGCTACGACGCAAATGGCGCTGGGTTGAGGCTTGCCAAAACCACTAGCAAAGATTTATACGCTGCTCGTGTTGCTTATTTATGTCATTGCGCATGCGTGCGCGGGCGTGCTTTGATATTGGGAGCTTTGCAAGGGCTGCGCTGTTGCGGATGGATTATTTTGGGCGCGAGGAGGACGTGCAGAAACAACTCAACCTGGCATATGCCCATTTCAAAAGCTGGCTACGATCTGAGAAGATATCGTGCTCGCAACCGCCCTTCCGGGCATACATGGTGCCTCAGTTCAAAAGCTAGCAACTACAATTTATTTGTATGCCACCATGCTGTGGGCTTCACATGATTCCAATCAGTTCACCTAAGAGGCTATTTGCCAACAAGTTGGCAATTATGCTACGTACACAGTTGGTAAACAACATGGGTTGACAGTCGGTGTATGTTGGTCCTCCAACTCCATTTGCATCCTGAACCAAGTTGTACAAACGAGATGGCAGCACACTGCTTACTGCAAAGGCTTTTAACGGCCGTGTCCTGACACAGTGGTTGGCAACATGCCTGTCCGATGCTTCGCGCAACCCTGGTCCCAACGCTGAAGAGCAGCTACCGCTTCTCTCATCGTGCGTGCCGCTGGGATTCATTTTAGCGCGCGCAGGGCGGGGAGGTTGTGTGGTAAATTTGTATGATGATGACATTTTTTAGTCGGTTGCGAGGTGCAGTGTGGCAGGGATGCAGTTCGTGCTATTGTTTACAGCGCAAAGCGTCCTGGCGCAGGTCATCTTTGGCGCGGTTCTACGGCCTGCAAGAACGTGGAGGGCGGTTTTTGGGGCAAGCTGAGCGTGAGGAAATGCGGACTGTAGGCATGCGCTTTGTCAAGCGATATTTGGCGCTGGCAAAGTACGCAATCAGGCCGAACAAGCCACAATTATCAAAGCTACACTGCTAGTTTCGCTCTTAGCTGGTTGGTGTTTCCTGGGCGCACCCGCGCAGGAAGAAGATGGACGAATTTAGGATCAGACCTAAAATTCATGCGCCTCTTTTGCATTTAACGCGTTGGCCCTTCAATCATTTCATGCTAGAGCGCTGCAGGATCCAACATATTGCAGTTCACACCGCGAACTGAACCTAAGATGATGCTTCATCTCATATCAGATGCCTACAAGTACGGCAAGAATGCGCGCTTTGGGCATTGTTTCCTCGAGGAAGATGGAATGCAGTGGCTAAAACGTGGCTGGTGTGCAACAATTGTTTACGCATGTGTGGCTTTGCTTTATGTACGCGAAATGCCCAAAATCGGGAAAATGTTTTTGCAGAGACTGTGTGTTAGGCTTTGGCTTTCCTAAGGTGTGGCAGTCAGAGCACATCCGCAGCGCCGGGCTCACTTCATACTCAACATGACGCGGATCAGAGTTATGAAGTTCAAAATCAATAAGTTACCTGTCTGCATTTTCTTACTTAGCGCGCTATGAGAGGAATCAATCAAAATGCCACATCAGAGGCGTGTATTTGTCAATATGTGCTTGCCCTTGCTGGGTAACCTGAGGCTCAACCGCGGAGCCAAGAGACGAGCTATGAAGCACATGCGAACCGGACACTGACAAAGCACCCGAAATTGGGCCGCTGCAAAAAAATGCACTTGAGGGAGCGCGTTTGAGGTTGGTCGGGCTATCTGGAATAGACCATTTTGACCCCCCCCAAGCCTTGCTACTTTACTGGGCCTTTGCTGAATCTAGGCCTCGGGGGCAGGGGCCTTCCTAAGTAAGGCCTTTTGACTGCCAGGGGGAGTGTAAATAAACTGCCGTGGTCAAAGCTCCTTGTGCTTTCTTGGCTGGGAAGTCCAAGCAACTCTCGGCAAGGGACTCATCCCTCTGGTCTTTAGGTGCTTAGGCTATCTGGGCAAACAAGGGCACTTCAGGACTCCAAGCGGTGCTTCTGGTTTGGTTGCCTGACAAAACTATCTGACAGACAATTATCCATGCCGACACGCGCCCAAAATAGAAGGTTGGGTGCCCATTCTGAACGCTGACATGAAACTCCATGCTACAACTGAAGGTGAAGCTGCGCCAACACATGTTGCATGGGGTTGCAGCTCCCAAGGCCCTGCTTTACCAGCAAACAAAACCGTCAACCGTCGATTTTCTGGGAGAAAGTGAACACTTGGGGGCAACCCAACCCGGGTGTGTCTTGTTCAGCTCCAAATGGGAAGGCAACTTTTTCTTGGGAGGGGGTTTAGGGGTGGGGACGCCAACGCAAAACCGACCCGGCTCTTCGAATCCGGTCCTCGCATGCTGACACCAGCTCCGAGAAGCGGCCTTGGGCAAGCTGTAGCACCTAAGTCACACGCAAGCGGTGTCCCACACAAAGAAAGGTTGCCTCGAAAATCCTCGGGGCAATTGGGGTGGGTGCATTTCAGGAAGTCAACAAGGAAGGTCAAAAGATCACAAGTTGAATGGCAGAGCCGGGGGGAAAGCATCAACGAGGTGAATTGGCACAGAATTAAGCCTGTTACACTTTGACGCGTTCCGACAATGGGTGCTTCACAAAGCTTGTCACGCCTGTGCGGCTGAATTGCGGAAGGGTCTCCAATCTTCTGAAGAGGTGTTTTTCTGGAAAATGCCAGGGCTGTTTCTTGCCAGCGCTTTCTGATCGCCCCAGGCTGGGGATGGTAACCTGTTGGGAGTTCTGGTTGGCCGCATCCCCAGCCTCGCGGGGACCTAAGGGCTGCCCATTGGATCGGATTCGGTGGCAGTTCTTTGAGATCTGAGGTGAGGGCGGGTCGTGGGTTGATTTGGGGGTCATCTCAGCTCGGCAAAGGGCTGATATCCAAACTGCTGTTGGGCAGAGTGCGGGCTGACCTTGGGGGGGAGTTGCTGCTTAAGACCCAGCACAAATCAGCGCCGAGCCAACCCAAACCCGTCCAAGACCCGCCCTCATTAACATCAGCCACGAACTCATCGCAAACCAACCCGAGAACCTCTCAACTTGAACAACCTCTTTGCGGCGTCCGTAAAGGCAGAATCGGGCTCGCCCTCTCTCCCTCTCTCCCTGTCCTGGCCTCTGCATGCGCCGCGTCTGCCTGCCCAGGTCGAACTGGATGCGGGCGGAATCGCAGTGCTTGCTAGCGGGGGGCGAAATCCTGTCCCAACGACGTGCAGTGGGGAAAAGACGGGGCTTGCTTGAATACCCTAAGCCTCGCCTGACTTGCTCCTAAGCGTGACCGCTTCCTTCGTCAAATCCTGCTACACCTTTGGCGCACATTGCTCTGTGCCAGCCTTGGTCCAAGACCCATCTTAGATTACGTCTCGTGCCATTCCCCCAGGGTGAAATCCCCAGGTGAACAGCCAAACTAGCATCCAGGGCAATGATTGGAAGTTTCAAGGATCCACATTCCACTTACCAGAGACTTGTTTTCGTCTTCAATTCAGGTGTCGTTGGTGGCTCACCCACTTGAACCCGGAAGCCTGGCGGATTCAAATTGTGTCGTGTCCGCAAACAAAGTGATCCTCGCCTAAAATGGTGTGGCGCATTCAATTTCAACTCAACCTCAGTTTGCTAAAATCCTGTATGTTGTCTAAAGCGATGCCATGCTTCACCCCACCCTGCCAAGCCAAAGCCGGAAGAAAACAGCGCGCCTCACCCATGGAAAAGGCACAATCGCCGTGTCCAGGCCTCGGACTGAAGATACGGAAATCGAGGAGGCGACTCAACATAAAGCACTTGGGCAACTTCACCAACCTTGTGCCTGTCTAGTAATTCGGTGGTTCGCTCTCTTGCTGGAATCCTTTGAACAACTGTCAATCACCTGGCAGGAGGAGCTTCCGTCGAGAAAGAGAGAGACAAAGGACAACTGTGCTGCTTTTCACGATCCAACATGTGACAGTTAGGGACACATTTGAACCACCTAGCCCAAACCTGGTTCCCTTGAAAATCCCAAGGGTTCTATGAATATCTCCTCAACTGATGGGATCTCCTGGCAAGCTTGCTCGAAATACCGCGTTGGCTCTTGCACAGGGACAAACACAGCATGCATCCTCTGCTGGTGGGGCCATGAGAGTGTGGGTATGGGAGTGACACCCTGAGAATCACCCTTCAAATGGTGAGAGAGCGGTGTTCCCCCTCCAGTAGTTCTGAGAAGACTCTCTGAGAAGACTCCCCAAAAAGGAGTTATCCATCGATCCAGCTTGGGTGGTTGCCCTGAACAGGCGCCAAAGTTCAACCCAGCGGCCGCAGCCCAGCAGCGAGCGCGACTCCTTGAGCCAATCCGGTTCGGCGCCTCTGGAAGGGCGGCGGGGCCCAAAATTGCGGACCACCACCTTTTTGGTGTGCAAAATACTTGCAAAATGGAATCGCGCACTTTAAAACCGTTTCCCTTGAGCCGCAGCAATCATTGTCTCCGCGTGACATGAAAATTGTGTGTGTGTGTGTGTGTGCGGCCAATTCCTCTGCCAGTCAGAGTGCATGGTGAATCTGCTTTCTACCATCCGGTTTAGTGAACAGAAAAATCTAAGACTTTGCCAACCTCTTGCCAAAACACGCATTGCTTGATTCTTGGGTGCATGGATTTTGCACTACCCAGCCGCCTGGCAGGGGAGAAGGAAGGTTTAAGAGCGGCGATCAAAATGCAAAGAGTCTGCGCCGTGCTTGCTTCGACTTCATTTTTAGCTCCATCAAGAACTCTGGCCAATTGCTCAGGTTTCTGTATAGTCCAAGACGCGCAAAGCGATATCCGCATGCACATCGTGAAAATCAAGCGTGCTTGAGATGCCTCGCACCACGCCGGCTTCTGTCGGAATGTGGTCCATCTGCACCATCTGATTGAGATTTTCCTCGCTTTGCTCCAGCTTGTGTGCGAGCTTGGTGAACCTGCGGTTGACCGCGTTTTGGCACTTCACAAGGGCTTCCGCAAGGCGCTGCTTGAGGGCATAGTTGATGCTCTCGTAGCTACCCATCTCCTGCAGCACATACTCGTCGATCATGCGCTTGTCCTCCTCAACGGTCGCTCTAGCATCCTGCAGCCTGATCTTTGCAGTAGCTTCAGCGATCTGCATGACCACTTCCACCGTTGCGTCCCCAAAGTTCAGCACACCCGCGGGTGTCGCGAAGAAGGCACCCTCGAATCCACTTTTTGATTTCTCCAGTTTGATGGTCTCGAGCAGCTCAAACAAACACCAGGACCTTGTCAGCATCCGCACATCCTTGTCCAGCATCATGACAGTCCCCTTGCATTGCCCATGTTCCAAGGCCATGTAGAAGGAGGAGTTCTTATAGTCTTGATCCTCGCCCAACTCCTCCTGCACCTTGAACTGGTTGTTGCTGAAAGTACAAATCCAATACGAGATCGTCGTCCAAGATCTCTCTTTGTCATTGTCACTAATGCGCACCGCATGATGATGCAAAGACTCGCAAAAGTCATGAAAGGGTGTGCCCCAAAAGTGGCTGACGAAGAAATCGGCTTCCTGCGGGCCAACACGCTCTGCAAAGGAAACCTGGAACTTCTTGCAAATTGGCACGACGAGATGGGAGCAAACGTAGTACATGCTCCTTCTCAGCCCAAGGAAGGAAGAGAAATGTTTGCAGAGCCTCACCACCATCTGCGCCTGGATTGCTCGCTTCGGTCCGCGCTCGCAGGTCTTGGGGTGGGGTTTCAATGTCGCTGAGAACTGCTGCAGCCTGAGCTTGAGTGGCGAGGGCCGGCGCCACTTGATCACGCCAAAGTACGCGCGTAGGGTGAGAGCCATCAGCATCGGGATACTTAGCGCCAGCGCCAACTCCGTCTCGTTGTAAATCTCCTGCCATACAAAGAAGGCCGCAGTGCTCTGAACAACCATAAGCACAAGCAGAAGGATCGGCACTCGCACCACCGCAATGTGGGTGCTGTGGGAGAACCAGAGTGTCTCCCATATGCTAAGGTAAAAATAGCCTGAGGAGCTTGCCGCAGCCTGTACCAGGGTTGCGCCGCCATAGATCTTGAGGAGCTTAAATCAACATGAGATTTCAACTGGTTTGAACGCCAAGCGCGCAATGACGGTGCATGTTTCAAAATGTTGGAACGCCATACTTGCTTCCTTGCACCGGGTAGAAAGCTTTCAACTTGCTTGCGTCGCGACATGTTTACAAAACCATGTTCAAACATTTATTGAACCATCATGTCGAATCTCAGTGGACCTGACACGCAGCCGGGCGAGCCATGGTTCTGCCATGGCCCAAGCTGGGTCTCCAAGGCAAGTTTAAGCAGTGTGCAAACAAAGTCTGCCTGCATCAGACACGAGTTGAAACACTGCTTGAAGAGGCTACAACCAGCGGAGGGCTGCAAACACGTATGGCTGCTTAATATGTTGGAGCCTTCAAATGAACAGTTGAAACGTGATTGACCCGACCGTCGCCTTTGTGTCTTCCATGAAGACCTTCAACCGAGTGTGGTCTATTGGTTCTGCGCGGACCTGCTTGCTATCAATGTCAGGGTGCAAGGTACCCTCAATGGTAATTGTAAAGCTGCTGCGATGGCGAAAACGATGAGGCCCCAAGGTGGTCACCACTATGTGGTCGTCTGCCGGTGCTTTGTCCAAGTCCTCAATGCGCACGTTGCGGCCCGTCAGCGTGAAATACGGGAGGTATGAGTTTGGCTTCAGCTCGAAGTAGTTCCGCTTGAGTTCCAACTGGCCGAAGCTGATGAAGCAAAATAGCATGAAGCAAGTCACAAACACTATGTAGCTGGTTGCCCGGCCACTGTGTACCAAGCAGCTTGTCTGCATCTCATTAGGGTAATCCCATGGGAAGAAACAGGTCTCACAACCATCCTCCCTTGCAACGAAGCCGGCCTTGCAATGAAAGTCAATGATGCCGATGTATGTCCACACTGCATCTCCAGCAAGTCCACCAAAGCAATTGTCACTGCCACACCAGCAGATTTGCCAACGGCCTGGCAGCAGCTTGCCGTGGAAGCTCCGGAAGGTAATGCCATCCGTGGTGCGTGCCCACGGATCCTCGGCAAAGAACGGATCATCGCAATCCCACCGGATTGTAACATGAGCACCCGCTTGCAGTCCTAGCCCATCGATGGACAGGAAGAATTCACTGGTATCTAGTTTGTGCACATCCTCGTAATAGTAAGGGCCAGCAACGTGCACCTCGTGCACCACCTCAGGGACGGGTTTTGAGAAGGAACACCTCAGCGAATGCCTTCCGTTTGCGAATGCAAAGAAACCATTCCCGAGTGGATGCTTTGTATGGTGCAATACCTTGACTACACCACATTCAGCCTTCTTGCATGGCATATGCTGTGGTTGCTGGCTGCCACTCATTTGCTTTAAGCTCCCTAGGTGCCCCTTGGATAAAACCAACAAATTGGTTAACCACAAACAAAAACACCATACCACACGAAAGGGCAACCCAAGGAAGAAAGCAGTACCCGAGATCAAAGTGGTCTTGAGCCAAAATGTGACCCAAATGTCTCACATGCCACTATGCCCTACGACAACCGAGCCTGAAAGCGTGAACAATATCAACTCACAATCTGCTAATTAGGAGGCCACGCTCTTCCAAAACTCATGTGTTGTCTTCAGGGTTTCCTTGTTGACAAGCCACTTTGTCCCTCACCTGCGGTGGAGAGGCGCAGGCACACAGCAACCATAGTCCTGGAGTGTGGAGCTGATCCCGACCCAGCTTCACCTCGCCATCCTGTGGCTCTATTGGTGGTTGCTCCAAGCAGGTCCATGGACCACATGACCAGTAGCCAACAACCAGGCGGTGCCGTAGGTTCAACCCGGCCTGCAGCTGGATGTTGCAAGGCCTGCCAAAGGTGCAGTTGGTGGACCCACCACTATCGGTGGCCCGATCTCGGAGGAGTAGCGTCATGGACGTCCGGTCCAGTTGAGCACTGCCAGTTGCATTTGCCTGCAAACAAATCAGCTCCGGCGTCTCCCTGATGCCGTCGCGCCATAGCCTGATGCTACCCTCCTGAGGGTTCTGGGCTTCACCCAGCCGCAGCAGGCACCGCTCATCTCCTTCGCCAGGAGCCCAGCTCAACGGCTCTGCCGCTGGGGCGAAGTCAAAATCTTTGGAGACTTTGGCCTCCAAGTCGGCCAATGGGCAGGCGCCCGGTTGCATCTGCACGGCCGCAAAGCCAGCGGTGCCGCTCCGCTTCGCGGAGACCAGGCACCCCTCAGCGCCCTCCAAGACATCCATGATCTCTTCGCCGAAGAACGTGGCGTTGGCGGCGTTGGAGTTTGACGTTCCGTGCTTCACAAAGTGAACAACACCACCGTCCGTGTCGTGGGAGATGTGCACTTCCAGAGTGGAGATGGCCGAAGCTGGACGTTGCAAGTTTGAATCCTCGAGGTGCAGGACAAGGATGCGAAGCCCTTCGCTTAAGTCATCGTCTACTAATCGCAGAAAAACAGCTTTGTAAGAATTGTCACCATCTGACCAAGCCATCGTCGGTGTCTCCAGTTGAAAATCCTGCACGCTGGCATTGCCTGATGCCATGCTGGCGGTAACAGTGGCAGTCAATGCACCAGTACTGCCACCAGTGCGAAAAATTGGTATTGCAATCACACCCATAGTCTCGGAGACTGCAAGCACAGATTCTTTGAATTCTGCGTTGCCATTTGTAGCCATACATCCATACATATGCCAAAGCATGGCGAGCATTGCAAAGCGGATGGTTGCCATGGCGCCAAAATGCAAGTTCACCTCTGTGCTTTGTTTTGGGCATCTGGTACATACATATATGTGATCATATGTGTGTGTGTGTGTTTAGTTGGTGCTCGATTTAGCTGTCTCTTGCTTGTACCGCTGGAGGGCTCAGTTCTGAGGAATTTCGGCCAATCGCTATCGACGGGATCCGTCAAACCATGGTTCACCAACCGTTCAGCAAGTGCAGCTGCCACTCCCCCTCGCCATCTTATCTATCTGCTGTGAATCGATCGCGATGCATTCCAGGCCCATTGTGGGTGTGCATGCCGCATGGCTTCACTAAGGTGGGGCAGGCAGGCAGCCAAGTGCTTCTGAGCAGGAACACTAGAATACTGCGCCGCCAACTTATGACAACTTGCCCCTCTTGGGTAACCTCAAAACTCCTGAACAGGTCTAATTGCGGTTTACGACTGTACTGCTCAAGGGATTCGATCTGATGGCTTTCCGCCAAAGCGCTTAGCCAGCCGCCGGCAGTCTGGGCGTTGGCGGGCGAGCCCCGAAGATCCGCGCTTCTCACGCCACGCAGAGCTCGCACTCGCCGTCGAGGTTCAAAGTGGCGCCTGTGATGCCAAAGAGCCGCTTGAAAGGAAGGCGGCCGGGGGAAGGGGGGAGAGGGGAGAGGGGAAATCGGACCAAACTATGAGACGAGCCCCTTGCCCCCAGAGCCCATGAGCTGCAAACCCATAGGCGAAGTCAAGAACACGGTCGCATGGATTTCTCGTTAATATGTTCTTCCGCTTTCGAGTGACAGGGTTTTTGAGGTCAATCCTTGCGGTTAGGCCAAAACAAATCGGGGTTGCTTGGGCAAGTCACCTGACCGTCTTGGCGCCGCTAGAGACCCTGGCGACCCTAGCGACCCTGGCCTCACGGCTTGACCCGAAGGCCCCCCAAAGGGTCTGGCGCTACCTTCGGCTTTGGCGCCGGCGCCGGCGCCTCGGCCGGAGCCGGGGCCGGGCACGGCGCTCCACCTGGCCCCGACAGGAGGAACTGTGTTTTCGTTGCGGGGAAGAAATCTAAAGGGGCCACACGTCAGGATTCCAAAGCGGGAACCCTTGGCAAGGACGAAAGGCGAGTGCTCATGATTGAGGCTGGCTCGAAAAACAGAAGCTTAACGCAGGTACTGGCGTCACCTTGCACGACGCGCACCTAATGAATTGGCCGAAATTAGAGACTAAATGTCGCAAGGGTCTTCTGACATGGGACAACATACATCATGCAACGCGCGCAAAGAACTACACAACACAACCTATGTCTGCATTTGTTGATTCTTGTGTCCAAAGCTGACCAACACCAACTGATTTACGCGAGCCGTGAGCAACAGCAAAGCGCAGTTCGCGAATCAGTGCTCTTGCAGGCGTCTTGAAATGTTCAAGCTTTTAGCATCACCCTACCAAAAAGGCAAACTCATGTGAAATTGATCCAATATGTTATGATGTTCGAAGCCACACATGGGATAGCCATGATGTACATGAGGTGTGTGTGTGTGTCTGTATATATATATATATATTGGTATATGTGTGGCAACACGACTTCAACGGCTTCATTTTCGCCAAAGTTGATACTTCCTCCCAAAGACCTTAGAAGACTTGCCACTGATTGAAAGCCAAACACATTTAGCAAACATGGACTGCCTGTGTACCTGTCGCGCGATGTGAGGGTTCAATTTGCACTGGCAAGTGTTCTGTAGTTGGGCATATTTCATGACTCGCGGCGTTCCTGCGCGTGGCCTGTAGATCTGTTCACGCGAGCAGCGCGCGGCGGGCAATTATGAGTATGACCTTCCGACAAGTGTACGCAAACACACAGCCTGTCACACTGCAGGGTCTCCAACAGTGGCTCTGGTCACAACATGCAGCCAAAATCGTAGACCAAAGCTCTCAGCCCCCGTCTCGTTGAGAGGCCTCCCCGCAAGGGATCCGCAAACGCAGCTGTCGCCGGGGCTGCACTAGCTGCCACCGGTGGAGGGGCAAAGGGCGATGCTGCAGGAACGGGCCCCGTTGAGGTGTTCGCCTGTGCACAGAGACCATTGTGCAAGGGCGTGGCCTGCATTAGTCTTGCGAGGCATAAAATCTTCCGGGGTGGCGCGGAGTTTTGGCGAGCAGAAAGGGAATCTACGTGCTAAGGTTGCTTTGAGTTGGTACCCTTGGGATGTAGGGACACCCTTGGCAGAAACCCTTTGATTCCATTGGGAACGTCCAACAGTCAATGAGCGTGGATTGAGGGATCAAAAACAAACACTTCCTGCTTGGACAAAAGCCCGGGGACAGATTGCAAGGCAAGCTCTCGCAAGGGATGGAACGAATGTGCGTGCCTGATACGCGTTCGCGGGCGTCCTTTTTGGTAATATGATTGCCGCCCGAATCAGTATCATGCGCTCAAATCGTTAATGACCGCTCCTTGTAACAAGTACCCAAAGTGTTGACTATCACTGCAACACAGCCGGCCCGAGTTATCCCCCATGCTCGTTCCACGCTTCACGATGGGTAAATTGAAAGGCTCGTAAGTCATGAGGACCGGGATGTACAAAAGGCCCGAAGCGAGCAGCTCGCCCGCCCCGACGCCCAGCCTTGCCAAAGAGGGCGTCCAGGCTGCTCCGTCCCTGGCGCCAGATTTCAGACTCTGGAGATTTGCTGATGTTTACCGGGGGGGGGGGGGAAAAACGGATTGACATGTCAGCATCAATGAAGGACGATCTGAGGAAAACTCAGGCTGTAAACTCTGGAGGGTGTCAAAAGCAAAGAGCACGACACTGCATTAAAAAGCAGATGGCGACATCCTCAGCATGTTGAATCTTTCGGGCTTCTCCATAGCAATAACCCGCTAACGTGGATCTGTGGAGTTCTCAGAGGAGTCCCTTTGAAATGGATTGGGCCCCACTATTCTGGAGGGATTCTTCGCGAAGCGGATTAGTAGGCAACATGCGACAAGGCCGATTGCTAGATGGTGGACAAACTGGGAAGATGGTGGACAAACTGGGAAGCCACCTGAGAAAGCACTGAGCCTCGTCCACTCGGCCCGCCTTCTCCGCCGGCTTCACCACGAAGTCGTCGTCATCATCGTCGAAGATGCTGCGCATCGCACGGCTTGACCCGAAGAGGCTGGACCCGCCCTCCGGAGCCGGAGCCGGCGCTTGGGGCGCGAGCGCTGCTTGGGGTGCTGGCGCTGCTTGAGGTGCCGCTGACGGCTCAAGCGCCAAAAGCGCGGAAGGCACCTGGTGCTCTGGCTCGGTGTCCGAGTGGCTGTCCAAGCTGGATTTGCGCACAAGCTGAGGCTGCCTCGGAGGACGCAATCGATAGACTGCACGGGCTTCATGAGGCCCTCTGCTCGAGTACAAAGATTGTGGTCAGAGACTTCATCAACGAATCAACGGTTACACAAACAGAAGCTGCATCAGAAAACTCAGGCGGAATCCGGTGCGGCCAAGGCACAGGGGGTTTGACACATCCCCAAACAGACCAGCACTCGTTGTCTTTGGCACCTCTCCAAGCAGCCCAGCATCAGGCTTCTTCGGCGCCGCCCCTCCGAAGAGCCCAGCATCAGGCTCCTTCAGCGTAGCATCTCCAAAAAGCCCAGCACCAGATGCCCTCGACGCCCCTCCGAAGAGCCCAGCATCAGACGCTTTCGGCAGCACCCCTCCAAAGAGCCCAGCAGCAGGCTCCTTCGGCGCAGCCTCTCCAGTGAGCCCGGCAGATGTTGGGGCGGCGGGGCCAGCAGATTTTGGGGGCGGTCCCCAGTCATCACTGTCTGAGCCCGAGTCATTTCTGCGCAAAGCCGCCAGGCGCCCAGCCGCAGTTGAGGCAAGCACGGCCGGTGTTGCCGGCGCTGCAGACGTCAGTGGTGCCTCTGGTGCTGCTATCACTGCCGGTTCCGGTGCAGCCGGCGCCTCTGCTGTAGCCGCCGGCTCCGGTGCTGCTGGAATTTCTGGTGCTGCAGGGGGCACTTCTTCTGGTGCCGACTCTGGCGCTGCCTGTGTTGGTGCTGACGCATCTCTTGCTGGGTTTGTTTGGCCACTCTGAAGACTGGTGTGGCTGCAGCCCAAAACCCGGGATTGCACAACACGGAACACAAACCTTGCCAAGCCCTTGAGCTCTCTGCCGAACCAACATGCTCGTTCAAGTTCAGACTCCCTCCTCAAGAAACCAAACCATTTCCCCTCTCAAACCAGGCCTGGGCTTCCACTTGTCTTGGACTCCTCTTGCCCGAGGCGGAGCCGGCGCTGCCGCTCGGCACTCCGAAGAGGGATTTGGTCACAGTCGGCTCGTCACCTTCAAGCTTGCACAAGCATCCACTCACAAACAACAGCAGCATTTAAGTCTCGTGGTCCAACTCCCAGACCTTCAAAGTGAAAATGCTCTTCTGGAAGGCCGGGGGGCTATATTGGCACATGCTAACACCCACAGAAGCAAAGTTGACAGACAACTCGCAATTGAAAGAAACCATGGAAGACATAGACCTCAAAATGAATGGTCCGCCTTCTGTCATGATCTAGGAGGGCAAGAAGGGGCTTTGCAGAACATAATACGTTTTTTTTTTCCGGCCTTTGAATGCCAGAAAATGCGTGATGTGGATGACGTGCCTATGTTAGTATGAAGTATGCAGTGGCAGACGGCAAAACACGACAAGGGCACGACGCTCTCCCAGCCCATGGAGGAATGCTGCTCTTTCGGGCCCGAACAGCGACCCCTGGTAACTAAGTTGCACAACGGCAAGTGGCCTTTTGTTTCAAAAAACGCACACCTGGTCCACGCTTCAGGCGGGGTTGGTTTAGGGCCTCTGAAGCAACGCATTTCCAGCTTGAGGTCCTCAAAGCCTGTAAACACGGATCGCAGTTCAGGATCGCAGGGCCTTCTTACAGCTTGCTTTATCAACTTCTGCCTCATCCAGGGATCTCACCCCGAAAACCACCAGACATGATCAAACCAACAACCCTTTCCCAAGTGAAGGCCCGCGCCAGGGCTTCAGGAGCCCCGTCCCAACCCATGCCCACAGGCGCCAAGCAGCCAAAGAGATCCCGCGCCACCACCGACGGCCTCGCAATTGCGCCGGAGACGAGCGCTGGCTCCTCGAGACGAGACCCCGGAAGCAGAGCAAAAGGAAGAGCAAAAGTGTGAATGAAAAAAATCAATACGCGAATCTTATTTGCAAGTGATTTGGGGATGCTGGAATCATTCTTGGAGAGAGCAAGTCCGAGAGCGAGCGGCACTTCAGCAAGCAAGAAACTTGCCCAACACCCTGTCTTTGGATCTTTTGTTTGGAGCAACCCTTGCCAACTTCAACCAGGCCAAATCCACACTCTAGGCACAATCTGAGTTGTAGGAGACCCAATGATTGTCTTTCTCCATTTTGTGCGCCAGCGAAACTTCTGATGTCTAAGAAACCAGCTCCTCAACCCATGGAATTCGCCGGCCTTTGCCGCAAAGGCATCACAGGAACCAAACTGAAGTTGACACATCACTCGTAAAATTCCATTTGCGCTTTTGGTGTGCACTGAACAGTGTGTGTGTATCGGTATATATATATATATATGCTACCCCCCAAATACTCAGGTTTTTGGCTAGAACTGAGGTGTTTGGACAGACTGGGGGTGACAAATGCCTTGAGACTCTGAAATGAACTGACTGGACGCTCAACTCCATGCAAATTCCAACCAAGCAGAAGTTAAGCTCAACGTTGAAGGAGTTGCGAGTTGTGTGACCGTCACATTGGCGTGCGCGAAGTGCACTTAAAGTCACATTGGAGTATGCAAAGTTCACTTTGGCAGCTCCAGCTCAAAAAGCACAACTGTCCAGTACAAGAGTAGTGCGCGAAGTATGTTTTGGCAGCTTCAACGCGCCTGTAGCAGCTCTACTATTTTGTGTTTCTTAATTTTGTTCGGCAGCGAAATTCAGCAAATCATCAACTTGGGGAAAAGGAACCCATTCCTACTTCATGTCCTTTCGCAGTTGCATTTACATGTTAACTCGAGTGTTGCGCAGAACTCCAAGTACACGCTAGTTCAATCTGTTCGAAACCTATGTTGCAAAGCAAGTATCCCATGTGTGTGTGTTGCTTGTCTAACTTGGTTCAATCATCGCCAAAAACAGCTATTGAAATTCAAGTAAGGGAAGGATATCCAGTTTAAAACGCTTTCGAGCTCAAACCAAATTCAAGTTTACTCGTTAGCAGTTTCTTGTGCATTTCAAAAATCAACTGGAGAAGATGGCTATTGTCATGGCCAAATGAACTTGGAACCAAACTCAAGTTTGAAAGGGGTATCGTCCTTATCGAACTTCATGTGGTTTGAACCAAGCAAGAACTGGGCCAAGCCAATGACAGGAACGTGTTTTCAATCATAGATTTTATTCAGTGTTTTCAGCATTTGCTCAGATCGTGTTGCCCTGGATCGAAGATCGAGTATACAAGATTCCACAAATATATGTTTAGAACATCTTCAATCCTGGCCCCCTAAACACTTGACAGTTTGTTCTAGACTCGTTAAGGTTTTGCCCCCTGCATTGAAGATTGAAGATCTACCATGTTTTCTATTTGAGAATCTTCCATCCTGGGCTGCCCTCAAGTCCACAAAAGAACATGTAAAGATGCCAACAACATTTTTCCACCCTGGCCAAATCCAGGCAGCGCAAGTGCACATCCACAATTTCATGAGTTGTCAGAGAATCTTCAATCCTCAATCTTCAATCCAGGATGCGCTAGCACGTGCTAGCACATATCAGTTTGTCCTAAGGATGGATTGAAGGCTTCCAGAACAAGTGGCCTCAGAATCTTCAATCTTTCATCTTCAATCCAGGATGTGCTAGCACGTGCTAGCACATCCTGGATTGACCTAAGTACCGATGCTAGAACTTAAGTCTAAAACGGAGTGCATGTCTAGAGGTCATCTTAGAAGCTGGAACGTGTGTTTTGCATGCATTTTTGACAGCCCAAATGTCAATCTCTGGCCACTCATTCCAGGGGGGTACCATATATATACATACACATACATATATATATATATGCACTTACAACCAACACAGAAACATAGCAAATCACCTTTAACATCAAAAGTACGCAAGTATTGCTATCTTGGGCCCTAAGTTCACAGCAGCAAGAACCCTGCAGCCGGCAGAAACGCTGCCTGTTGATGCAAAACGAAAGTCTTCCAACTAGCAGCTGGGAGGCCTGGTTGCCGACCAGGACGTCGTAACACCCGCACCCCGGTACTACAACATGAAGGTCCCACTGGCGTTGAACTCCTTTGAGAGCGATCCCATGCGATCCCTGCATTGTCTCAAGGGAAAGGTCGAGGCAGCATGTCTTCGAGCCGAAGCCGTCCTCATTGAAAAGCCCAGCTGACAGCTTCCCAAGCCCGGATGCAGGCGCCTTGCGGGCCCGTCCGGCCTCCCTCGGCCAAACCTATTTCCTTTTGGCATGGGATTTTGTATGCTTCTGGGCCATCAGAATCTGCACAAACAAACACGGGGCAAGGGGAAGGCTAGGATGAAACCTGTTCGAGAGATGTGAGACACCCAAAGCAAAACAAATTTCTGCGATTACTTTTTGGCACACGGACTTGACTTGGAACCTTTGCTCAGGGTCCACACAGCTGACAGGTGCTTTGTCACCCCAAGCCCCTATCACAGAGAACAAAGTTCACACTCATGCAATCTGCTCCACTCAATTTCCTGTCATTTGCTGAGTGTGGTTCGTGTCACCCCCTGACAATTATGAATATTCACGGTTGCTCATTCGTACAGCCAGTGCTTTGTCGCATGTGCAAGGCAGATATTCCCGCAAGCTTGGCAGCTAACTGGCGAAAAGGGCTTTCCCCATCCAGCGAAACGACTCAAGAAACATTTGACGCCTCTTTGTTTGCGGCGCAAATCCTCAAGACTGAAGGTCTTTCCCAAGCAACGGTGTGCAAGGGTTTCAGGCGCGACCCCCAAACATGCCACTTCTCCCAAAGGCCCCGATTCAAAAGGAGAAGCTGTTGGGACTATGACTGAGCTAGATCGCAGCTGGGGAACCGAAACGTCAACAGGTTTTGAAACCGCTTGTTATGCCAGGAGGCGGATCAACCACGCAGTCAAATGACAGGGCAGTTGAGGTTCGACTCCCGTGGGGTGACCAATACCCTCGACAGCAAGTCGTATATAGTAGTGGTCGTGGTAAAAGGGGGTTGTAAGGTAAATGATCTGCGTCGTCTCACGACTCGATGCTCATTCACGATGAGTATCACGATCTTGTCTTGTATATAACTGCAAATTCCAGTTGATCCCCCATGTAGAAGAAATCGTACTGAAAATGCTTGACCACCAGTGTGATGCTTCTGCGATGGCCTTTCTACTCGCCCTCCACCGGAACCTTTCTAACAGAGATTGTGGTGTCTCCTCGGTCCGATTGATCTTCTCGATGAAACGCGAGGGCAGATGTATGTTGCGAGAATAGCACCATTGGATAAGAGGAGTATCGACCTCTTTGACGCCTTGAATGCAAATAATTGCACCAAGCTCAAGTTTCAAGAACTTGCGTCCAATGTTCAGATCTGTTCGGTAGAAGGTCATGAAATCGCAGTTGAGGCCGAGGGCGATGCAACGGAAGATGGTGTGGATGAAGGCAATGTCCTTCTGATGGCTGACACCTCTGAACTGTTCTGCTTTAATACCAAACCAAAAGAACATTTCTTCGTCCCTGTGATTCGTGCTCTTGAACCTCACATTCTTGAACTTAGGAGCGGCAGTGACCTCTTCGTAGGTCGGCGGGATTGGAATGTTCGTCTCATCGACATAATTGAAAATCCAATCGTCCCTCCCGTTGAACGAGATGTAGGGACAATATAGTCCGCCTTCTTTGCCGGGCTCCTTGACCACATCTGCCTCGGTGTTGGCGAATACCTTCCATACTTTGAAAAGTACGACGCCAATGAATCCAGAGAGGTATGATGCCTCGCCGGCTTCGTCAGCGCAGATGGCCTTGACCTGTAGGAGATGAATTGCGTCCGCATCCTCCTCTGGGTTATCCGGACAAACTCCCACATCTTAATCGTCGATGTCCGTCCCGATATCTGACGGGATGTACGATCTGCCTGCAGATCGTTCCTCACTCATCTCCTGGGTGTCGGGTCGTTCTTCTTCGGCGACGAATCGCTCAGCATCCTCCTTTGCTTCTCGCTGAGCTTGTTTCACTTCCTCCGTCACATTGGTGGTGTCGGATGGTTTGGCCTCGTCGTCCACGTGGATCACGAACTTGCCGGTGGAAATGAACTCGCATTGGCATGCCGTGCAATAGCAAAATCGCTTGGAACAATGATAGCGCACGCTGGGCATACCCCGTTGGAAATGCTTGATGGGTCGTCCCCGCGGTAGACGATGAATCTGCTGAGCAAATCCCGGATCTCTACCAACGATTTGTCCAAGGCATTGGGTACTCCGACGTTGACGCATGCATCGACGACCATCTTTCTCAGGATGTCGGCATCCGCTGAATCTTCGTCGTCCAGGAAATTGTTGAGGTTCCCAAGGAAGTCCGCCGGGGTCACGCCGACGGCACGAGAGTAGATCCGATTGACTTCCTTCACAGGCCCTTTCTTCATGGACTTGAATCTCCAGATCGCCATTATCTCTTTTGAAGGGAATGGTCTCGAAGGCGGCAATCGTTCCTCCCGACGTGACCCCTGACTGGTACACGGACAACTTCCTTGTCGGCACATAGATGGCGATGAGGTCGTCTCCCTCTTTTCTTTGACATCGTGCATTGCGGTCTTGGTCGAGATGTTCTCGCTGTTCCAAGGTGCACATACTCCGAAGTGTACTGCCAGTCTTGTCATTGCCGCCAGGAACGATACCTCTCAAAAAGATACATTCCAGGGCTGATGGCTTTGTCACGTGAAATGCTCCGCCCAAGCGATCGGACATGTTCGGGAACAAGATGTTGCAAAGTTCAGCAGGACGAGCGAATCCGAAATCCGAATGCCCTGATGACGCTCGAATGCACCATGGTTGCCACCATCCGCCATGCTCGCGACGAATCCAGTCGATGTCTTTCTTTGTCCATCCAGCCGCTATGAGACCTGCCATCGTCTCCATGTCGATCTCCTGATCAAAGTTCGCAGCAAGGATCTGCAGTCTCGGCTTTCGTGCTCTCCGATCCTCCGATCTGATGCTCTCGGCGATCATTTGGAATCTGTCGCTCTTCTTGTACCGATCCTGCGGGAACGCGCTCTACCCATCCTCCGCCATTGCAAGGAATAGAGTTCCCCCATTTTTGTCCGACTTGATGTCGTAGGATCTTCACCAGTGCTTTTGACGTGAAAAACAAGTCTTGGTGGTGAATGTTGGACCCAAACGCTGTGTACTCATTGTACGGCTGATAGGGAAAACTTGTATCTCGGTTCTGCATCATACATGAATATAACAGCTTCATCACCGGGTTGAGGAATTACTGAGGCGCTTAAGCACCAAACGAAATCGAGCACGTGGTTATACTCCCTCATGGTTCCGTTCGGATTTGTGTGTAGGTCAAGTTGACCAACGTGGAGTTCTCCTCCTTCTGCCAGATCCATCTCGGAGAGGTTCACGACGTAGTTGTATTTGTGGAACTCCTCCCTCGGATAAAAGATCGGCTCCTCGTTTTCCGGTTGTTGTGGTTTGTCATGAGGATCGCTGGACATCGGATCCTTTTCTTCATCATCATCAGGAGCCTCCATTTCGATGTCTTCATCGGATGAGGGATGCCCTTCTGGAAGAAACAGCATTGTGATTTTGCCACGTGCCGAGTCAGACTCAGTTGCCCTTGCGGTATCTTCGCATGTCCCTTCATGGGATTCTTTCCCGCACTTCATGCAAATCTTTAGTTCGCCAGCGCGATCGCAAAGGTCCTCAAACATCCGCAACAGTTCTGCTCATCTTGAGGCGATGTCCCCGACTCTCGACTGTTTGGCTTCAGGCTCCTCAGCATGATCGGGCTCACGGCCACGATCAGCTTCGTCCTCATCGGACTCGCCTGCTTTCCTCTTTTGGCCTGATGAACCGGCTTCCTCGATATCGATGAGCGGTTTCGAGTACTCCAGTCTGTCCATGATGTCCCTGACGGTTCTGTTGGGAACTTCCATGTACTTTGACTGTGCCGCTTCTCTTCCTATTGAGGCCCGTCATGTGAAAGGTCATGTTCTCCCTGACGAACTTCAGGAACGTGGCTTCTAGCATCGGTCGGTATTGGCAAACGTTCCCCCACTTTGGCAATTCCTTCCCGAAGTAGGATATGACGTCGAAGAACCCGAGAACGGTCTCCAATCCATCTCCCAACTTCTCTTCATTGTCGGTGGAGAAAATGCGATATGCCTGTTCTTGACCCAGGAACCAACGCATCCACGAGGCATATACAGCGCTTCCGCAGTCTGCGAAAGAGTCCTTGTCGAGCGTGATGCCACCGATTTGCGACAGCTCCTTCGCGAACTTCTTGTTGAACAGATTCACGATGAGGTGTTGCACGAATGTTTCCATGTCCCCATCGAAAACGTTCTCAAGCCCGTTGATGTTACCGAGCACCAGGCTGCATTCAGCAAAGAATCTTTTCATGATGTTGGGGCGGTCAGCTCCCTTGCGCATGGTATTTTGCTCGATCAGCCCGTTCGCGTGGCAGTTGATGCGTGTGTCCGCAAAGTACTTATGGTCGGCTGTGGATTGGGCTCCCTCTGCGTGACATTCTGCGCAAAGTGATTCCACAACGTCTTCGAAGTAATACCACTTCGATCGCATGTCGTCGCCGTCCTCCTTGCCGAACGCTTTGCCCTCTCTTCGTTGCTCTTCATGATATTTGTTCTGCTTGTTGAAGTGAGCAGTGAAGTCCGGCTTGTAGTGATAGCGGACATTTCCGCCCGTTGCGCCCTGAAGCACAGCGGGGACACGCCCACACATGCATCTTCCAGGTCGGAAACCGTTTGTGCATCCAGCGTGAGCACGTGCATAATCATCTCGAGAATCAACGTCTTTAAATTGCAATACGTAGAAGAGCTTGGAATCTCCGGCGCAGCTATAGTTGCTGTCCGTCAATCCAGATACTTGCTTCCACATGAGATCATTGTCGGTGACAAGGACGCCCGCATTCGTGCACATTTCCATCACCTTCGTTGCGGTCAGCATCAGGTTGCCAGTGCTCTGATGGAATTCTGGGTGGTTGTTGATGTTCACGAATACTCCGCCGCCACATATGCTTGAAAGTTCACTTAGAGTTTCAAGTAGGCCGTCGTACTCGTAGTTCGTGTTGATCTTCCACTCGTAACCTTGCTTTTGGACGCAGTCATACAATGACATCCAAATGTGTACTGAGCAGTTCACAACGGATTGCCTCCATCTGTCGCCACCCTTGATCGTATTAATCAGTCC